TCTGTGAGTCTGTGCCTTACTTGATTTCTTCCCACCATGTTCCTCCACCTGGGATCGGACATTTGGTGAATATCATATGTGACTGATGTGGTGTGAAGGCAGGTTTAGTCCATTTAGCCATCTGCCTCCCTGGATGGATGGAAAGCTGTACAGATCACAGTGGCTGTAACAGCAGGACTCTGCTCTCCGTATACTGGATTCTTTCTCACTAATCTGGGGCCAGCTCATGTTCTCAATGACTCCTTAATGCTTGGCAGTGAGGCATGATGGCTCTGGGTCAGGATATCAAAGTACCAGGGAAGTAAGAAAAGCTGTGAAGGTAAATGAGGAGAAGAGGATGTTAGTTCCATGATCACAGAGGATTTTGTGACAAGGACCACCACTCTGCTACAGATATCTTATGTGACCTTAGACAAGTCACATGCATCTTAAACTCTTGGGAGTTAAATGGTTCCTACCACAAGGTTTCTAACAGCATATCAATAGGCAAATGGTATCAATCCATTTGCCAGAACGATCATCTCATGGTATTTCTCTCTTTTCAGGAACTGCGTCTGTTGCAGTCGCTGGCATCTTTGCAGCCTTAAGGATCACAAAGAACAAGCTTTCTGACCATAGGTTTGTTTTCCAGGGAGCTGGAGAGGTAGGAATGTTCTTGAGTTTGTTCCTAAATATGATCTAAATTCAGATTTAGAGAGAGAAAAGTCAACCGTGAAACATCCTGCAAGGTTTGGCTTTATGAAAACAAAGCACAGAAGCAGGTTCCTTGTCACTGAGCAGGAGTGGGCCCCACAGGGAGATCTTGCTGCTGCACAGAAGTTGTCAACAATCTTTCAATGATCTCTTGGCCCATGAGTCCTGGGCAGACTTTGTGGATGCTACAAGGCTGCCCACGTGTCAGTGGGGCTTTAAGTACCTTGAGGGAAGCGCCTTATGAGGCAGGATGCTGCAGGAACATTAAGGAGGCTGGTTTGAATCCTCAAGGTTGGTACTTAGGGTAGACCAGAGCCTCTTTAGCAATAGAGTCAAAAGGACTCAGAATCAAAGAACTGTAAGAACATAACCTCACTTGGAGTCAATCATATTGTCCCCAGGGCAGGAGTCAGGTAGTCTGTATGGCACCTTTCTCAAAGAGAAAGGGGGAAGTCTCTAAAGCATGGACTGTGGACTAAAGACGTTGGACCAGGTCCTGGCTCAGCTCTTGCCCACCTGTGGGACTTTGGGAAGGTCTATTACTCACTGTTTTCCTATCCCACTGTAAAACAAAGACTATTTCCTCTCTTTCTCCACCCCTCCTGACAGACGTGTCTGTGCTGTGGCACAGGGACCCTCCTGCCTTGTTAGTCCCCATCTGGGCAGGAGAGCCAGGCACAGCTTGTAGGACCACTAACACACACAGCATGTCCCAAGCTGCTTCTTCAGGCAGGAATGGGAGAAGAGAACTTCCCTCTTGGCAGTACTTCAGATGGAGCAATCCCACTTTGCTTTGAGTTCCTCTGTACTGGCATCCTCACCGATATTTGTTCAGTGTCTGCCCCTTTTCCTTCCCTGCAGCAGCTGGTTTAAAAGATGGAGACATCCTCTGCCTGTGGAGGTACCACCTCCACTGCTCCAGCCTCATGGGCAGCCTGCTCTGCTGGATGATTCTTTTTTAATTCATGGCAGCACCAACAATAAAACCAACAATAAAATCAACCCCATGCCATGGCACTGTACAACCATGGAGCTGAAAGCTTCCTGGATTTGTGTAGTGCTGGGGGATGACCCAACACATCTCTCATTTAAAATCTTACCCCCAAAAAGATGTTGATACCCCAATGAAGTGTTTGTATACTGTGTTCCAGGCTGCAATGGGCATAGCTCAACTCATCCTCATGGCCATGGAAAAGGAAGGAATTTCACGAGAAGATGCCATAAAAAAAATTTGGATGGTGGACTCCAAGGGACTGATTGTGAAGGTAGATTTTTGTCCAGAGCTGAGCTCCACTCCCCTGTCCCCTCCTGCAAGCTAGAGAGAGGCCAGAGCAGGCAGATACCTTGGACTCATGCTCAGCACCAGAGCAAGGAAGGGCTGCAGTTTTATTGGTGTCAGCAGAGCTGTTCTTGCTTTCAGAGGACTAGGTCTCACAGTGACAACACTCTTCCAGCAGCACTGGCTGCCCTAGAGACAACGCTCTGGGTGGGCCCTCTAAAGTGGTAGGACACACTGCTGGCCATGCTCTCAAGCAGCACTGGAAGTCTTGCATGTCATACAGCATCGTGCCCTGCTTGGTGATCCAGCCTGGCCCAGCTCTACTCTCCACTCCCTGGGTCTTCAGGACCTCTGTTCTTGTCCTTTCTCAGGCTTGAGGAGACTTATGCTATGTGTACAATTTCTCTGCCCTGGCAGCCAGATCCTTCCTCCACACAATCAATGTATTATGGAGAGTGAGAGGAGCAGAGACCAGCCCCACCATGACATTACACCAACAGCTGAATGCCTAACTAGTTGATGCTGAGGACCTGCTCTGAGATACCTGGTTTAGGTAGAAAGCCAGGAGATTAATTTAACTGATGAGTTACTATATGTCTCCACCTTTTGCCAACAGAACAAAGTTTGACTCCTTCTTTTTCCTCACAGGGCAGGAGCCACTTGAACCATGAGAAAGAAATGTTTGCCCAAGACCACCCCAGTGTGAACACGCTGGAAGAAGTTGTGCAGAAAGTGAAGCCTACAGCAATTATAGGTGGAGTTCCCTTAGCACAACCTTTTCACATCAATTCAGTTCCTCAGAGTTTCTGTCTTTCTTCCAAGGCCTCCTTTTGTTCTCCTAGTCAAAATGAAATGAGCTTTTTTTACCCTCATTTTATCAGTTGAGTTCTCCACATCCTTTCCCCTTCGACCGTGGGACACAGGCTTCCTCTCTTTTGGAGCTGAAGGAGCCCTCCCAGACAGAGCTGCAGAGGGAAGTGCTGCAGGAATAAGGATCTGGGGCTCTCAGCAGCAAACATGGCCCAGGCAGGCTGGGCAGGGTGAGGGTGACAACAGGCAGCTCAGGCATGTCTCTAGGAGGAGAAGCGCTGACTCTTTGGGAGGTGAAGTGCCATGGTCAGACTGGCCTAAACACTGATCCCCACTCGGACCAAAGGGGTTTATTTTGAGACAGGCTGTCCTGGTTTTGCTAGGATAGAGTTAATATTCTTCTTAGCAGATTTTAATATCACCATAATATGAAAAAGAAACATTCCCACCTGCATCTCCAGAGATGGAGTCTGTTCCCTCCCACAGTTCATTTACTGATAGAGGCACCCGAGAGGGATCAGCCCAATGCACTGAGGTCAGACAGTCAGAAAGCACCGTCTCACTCTGCTGTTCTTGTTTTAGGTGTCGCAGCCATTGCAGGAGCTTTCACTGAGAAGATTTTGAAGGACATGGCAGCCTTCAATGAGAGGCCCATCGTGTTTGCCCTGAGCAACCCCACAAGTAAAGCGGAGTGCACAGCGGAGCAGTGCTACCGCTTCACCGAGGTACCAGAGCTCAGCATAGGGCATGGTGGGCAGACAAGTGACAGTGGGAATGAGTTGAAACCAAAGAGGTTCAAGTTGATCATAAACAAAAGCTTGCACTGTGTGAGGAGAGTCAGGAGGTGGTGCAGGGGCCCAGACTGCTCATGCAGTGTCTGTCCTTGCAGGTTTTCAAGACCAGGCTGGATAAAGCCCTGAGCACCCAGGTCTGATTTCATAGCTGACCTTGCTGTGAGCAGCAGTTTGGGTCCCTACCAGCCTGGATTTGTAAAGAAAGCACTTGCCTCCTTCACCCACAGCTCTCTGAGGTGTTCCACCCTCCCAGGTTATTTTCCCTTGTGTTTTGCCACCCTAGTTGTTTGTGTAATTTTCACAGCCCAACTCAGGCTCAATGTCACTGAAGAACTATTGTCATGTGGTTTGACTTGGGGTATGTCAACTTTCCCCTTTGTCCCCCTGCCACCTCCCTGCTGCTGGCTAGGGCAATCACACACCCCCCAGACCTTTATCCTACATGAGTCCCTCTTCACACTCCACAGATGGTTGATAGAGAGGAAGAGAGACTCCTCAGCAAGTTCAGAGCACTTGCAGTAGGGCAGTGCGAACACCCATGCAGTGCTCAGTGGCCTTGTCCATGGCCTTGTCCATGGCCCTGTTCCTGGCTCTGGGGATCAGGCCCTCCAGAAGTATTAACTGGAGATGGCTGTGGTGGAGATACCTCTCACTGACTGGCTGGAGATTTGTCCGCTTGGTCACCAGAGTCCCCTGAGCACAGATCATGGCAAGCAGCAGAAATGTAAGATGTCTCTTCTCATTTTGGACCCCTCTTTCTCTCTCTTTGATCAGGGCCGGGGAATATTTGCAAGTGGGAGTCCATTCTCAAAGGTAACGCTGCCCAATGGACAGACCTTCTTCCCTGGCCAAGGAAACAACGCCTACGTCTTCCCAGGAGTGGCACTGGGAGTCATCGCCTGCGGAGTCCGGCACATCTCTGACGATATCTTCCTCATCACAGCAGAGGTTTCCAACTGGCATTTAACTCATGTTTTTAAAAAGACTGTAAGAGGCACATGCACCAACTTCAGGTGTTTACAAGAACCTGGCCTGGGGCAATGCATTGAGAGGAAGTGGCACAGCCTCAGCAAAAAGCCAAAGCCTTTCCCAGTCTCAGGGAAAGCTCAAGCTTCCATTGCACCTACAGAGGTGCAGGAGCCATGACAAGGTTCTCCACATTCTCCACAACCGATGCCCTGACACAGCACTTCCACCATTCTGGCTCCAGTTTTAAGTCTGTCATGAAACATACACACATGAATAGTTTAGCAGTTCCCATTGAGAGCTAGTCCCAGCTCTGCTGCTGCTGAGGTTTCAGTCACATATTGTGTAGTGCCAGTGAGTGCTGAACATCCTTGAGATCATCTCTATAAACTACCTTTCTCTTCTTTTTAGTCTATTGCTGCCCAGGTGACAGAGCAGAATCTTGCAGAAGGAAGACTCTATCCCCCCTTGGACAGCATCAGAGAGGTGTCTCTCAAAATTGCTGTGAAAGTGAGTACTCGTTTATTTCCACTTCCCATGCTAGGGAGGGCAGGAATTGCCTTGGCCTCATTCTTGCTTTGTGTTTTTTTTAATTCAATTTTTTCTACAGCCTAAAGCGATGATTCTCAGATTATTCTTCCAACCAAAATTGCTGCTTTGATTCCAACCATCATTAAAGCCCAAATGTGAAAAATACCTCCTGATTCTGGGTGCCTTACAGCTCCACAAAGCTCTGCTTTATTGCTTGGAGCTGTGAGCACTCAGCACTTCAAAAAAAATCAGGTTTAGGGTCAAATTCAAACATGATGCACATTGCCAAAAGTTTTTAGGTTCCAAATTGCTCTTTTGGAACCTCTCCTCCTGTATTTGATAGGGACCTAAGTATTTAAATGCTATTCCAGATCTGGGCTTGTTGTCTAATTGTGCCCTGTATACATCAAATTATGGTTGGACTAGATGATCATAATGGTCTTTTCCAACCAAAATATTCTATGATTCTATGAAATTTGGAATTCCCGTTTAGAGGACACCCTGAACTGAGAATCCCATTGGCTTGAGAGGAGTTACTGATGGATGCACAGTGTAGCTGAGGAGCTTAAGGGTGTGAGTGTCGGTGGTTAAAGGGCTGCTCTCCTTTAACTGCACACTCCAAACATGTTGCCAGGGCAGGGGTGTGCATTTCTAAGCAGCCAGGAATTGCAGGCAGCTTGCAAGAGATGGAGTGCAGCTGACTCAGGGAATTTCACAAAGATGAAAAAGAAAAAGAAAAAAAAAAGGGCACAATTTTGAGGGAGGAGAGTGGGGAAAAGAAGGAAAATGCAGCCAGGGTCAAATCACAGTTGGTTTCAGCTTCATAATGTGCCAACTTTATTTCATCAGCTCATTTTGCTTGTCTTTTTGCAGATTGTTGACTGGGCCTACAAGCATGGTCTTGCTTCTTGGTACCCCGAGCCAGCAGACAAGGAAGCCTTTGTGAAACGGCTCGTTTACAGCCCTGATTACGATTCGTTTGTTATTGATGATTACAGGTGGCCCCCCGCAGCCATGCAAACACAAGATGTCTAAGTTCTTGTGAGAACTGGTTTCTCATTTTTACCATCAGTTCCCATGGTTCATATCATTGCTGATATAAATGCACCTCCAGGCTTGCAACATGATACAAGTAAATGAATCCAAGTACTTTTTTCACTTTTTGCTGCTTTTTCTCTCTGGGAACATATCAGTAGGGAATGAAACAGAGTCCAAGCTGGGCAGTCAGTACTCCAAGGAGAAAGACAGTGGCTGCAGCTCGTCCCAGTCAAGCAGCACTGCACATTGCTGCTTGTTTAACACATTGCCCAGCTCTCAGCTCAGCTGCCTTGTGAGATGCTACCTGGGCCACCTCAGAAGCATTCCTAGTCCCATTCCTAGTGGGACTGCCCGCAGGAAGCTTGGAGCCCCACTTCTGTGGTGGCAGCTGTTTGTGTGATCATCCCTCATGCACAACAGCCACACTTTGCCCGTGGCTCTCTGGATATGATGGGAAGTGTGTGCATTGCCCTGGGAGAGGTGCACACCTGGGCAGCACTACCCTTTCCCCAGTGTTTGGGGAGCCTCATGCAACCCAAGTTGGTGCATGAGCCACACAGCCTGGCACTGTCCTGTACCCCATCCCCTTGGAAACAAACCCCAAAACTTCCCACAGCTCCATGGGGACAACAGACTCCCTCTCCTCTGCAATCCAGGCTGCTCTCCAAGGGCGCAGGAGCCAAGGGATGCACAGCAGGGAGCTGAGCTGGAGACCAGGGCACCCCTGGACCCACACATGGGTGCTCCATTGCATCTTCTGCTGGGCACTGCTAAGGAAGCACTGCCACCAGCAAAGGTCTTCCTAGGGGTCTCTCTGGGTCACAGAGTCCCAGGGAGGCCTCCCCTAGCCCCGCAAAATTGTCACACCCCACTAAATACTATCCCAGTGGGATGATGGTGTTCCTGATCATAACTGGGAAGGAACAGAGGGGCTTGCTGGCAGGTCCCCCCCTCCCAGTTCTCGCTGCTCACACACAGCAAGGCCAAGGCTGTTCACCACAGTCTTTATTTAGTATCTTTAAGTGGCTTTTAGCACGAGGAAAAGCATCTTGTCCCTTTGATGATGAGCCACAGGCTCTCCAGTGTCTGTGTGCTTGTAGGGCCAGCACCTTTCACAGTCCTTGCATAGGTAGTTCTTCTCACCCAGGCTAAGGAAGGAAAGAGAAAGCTAGCAAGTTTCAGGTTCCGGGAGAGACACTGAGAAATACTCACATCTTCTGAGCAGGAGACACTGAAACTGAGGTTACCTTGCCTTCTCCATGGCTTCTGGAAAAAGCTGCTTTTGAGAAGGAAGGTAGCAGGGTGGCAAGTGTTTATTTTGTTTCAGAAAAGTGCCTACACAGCTTCTCTTAGTTTCTTCTCTCTTCTCCTTCCCTTGCACCTCCCCACTGCTCAGTTAAAGGCTTGACCTTTCTGTCTGTTCAGCATCTCAAATATTGGGCAATAATGAAAAACAAACCAAAAAAAGACAGAGAATGCCTTATAGGTGAAGCCACAAAGGAATTTTCCTGAACAGCCTGGGAGGATCTGGGAGAGTTCAGCTGGTCTCAAGACAGTCACCTGATAGTCTTCCTCTTCAAACAATGCCCGCAAGAGGGGCTTCATGCCTCTGTCAGTGAAGCCAAAGCCAGTCACAGAATGGTGGGGGTTGGAAGGGTCCTCAGGATATCATCCAGTCCAACCCCCCTGACAAAGCAGGTTCACCCAGAGCAGGTTGCACAGGAAAGTGTCCAGGTGGGTTTTGAACATCTGCAGAGAAGGAGACTCCACAACCTCTCTGGGCAGCCTGTCCCAATGCTCTGGCACCCTCAAAGTGAAGAATTTTTTCCTCATCTTCAGATGGAACTTCCTGTGCTCCAATTTGTGCCCGTTGCCCCTTTTCCTATCACTGGGCACCACTGAAAAGTGTCTGGCCTCATCCTCTCAACACCCGCCCTTTAGATATTGATAAATATTGATAAGATCCCCTCTCAGCCTTTTCTTCTCCAGGCTAAACAGACCCAGCTCTCTCAGCCTTTCCTCATCAGAGCCCAGGCCCCTCATCATCATTGTAGCCTCCACTGGACTCTCTCCAGTAGTTCCTGGTCTTGAACTGAGGAGCACAGAACTGGACACAGTACTCCAGATGTGGCCTCACAAGGGCACAGTAGAGAGGGAGAAAAACTTTTGACAGGTGGCTTGAAAGTCTTAATTCTTCACTGTCCCAGAAATTGGACTTCCAGAAGCATGGTTTATTCTTCAGAATACTGCTTCTGGTCCAGCTCGTCTTGGCCAGGCAAATAGCGAGTCTGAGAGAGGGAGGATCAAGCCATGCCCTTGCCACAGCAAGGGCCTCTTTTTATCCTCTGGATTTGTCTGACATCTGTCATGCCTTGTAGGGACAAGGCCAGCTGGGGAGACAGCAGCTTCTGCCTTGCTTTTTGGAGGCAATGATACTCCTGGGACCTGGGTACCTTCAGCCCTTGGGTCCCGCAGCAGAGGCAATGGCTGTTTCAGGGAAGGTCTGAAAATGCCTCCATAGCTGGGCCCTTCTCCCTGTGAGTGTCTGAGCCATTTCTCACTGGACTCCAGGAACAGCCCAGGGCGCTGAACAAGCTCAGACACACATAGAGCAATCCCAAGAGAGTGTGGTCCTCTCCCCGTATCATGACCTCAGCCCTCATCACTGCTACCATCTCTTGTTGGTTAATGATTGTAGGCAGGTAAGTACCACAAAACATCTCCCTCCCTCCCTGGCATTGGCATGGGGAAGAGAACCAGAAGCGTAGAAGTAAGAGTATCTCTGGGCTGAGATAAAAGATGGATTAATAGGTGAAGCAAAACCTGCACACACAGGCACTCCCGAGGAGCCAGCTCCCACATTACTCATCCTCTTAGGCTCTTCCTCCCTCCTCACTTCTCCCTCCTTTTCCTCCACCTGCCCCTTGAGAGTCTGAAGAGGTCCTTCCCCAGCAGCTCTTCCAGGTGCTACATAGAGCCCAATCCTGGAAACAAGAAGACAACAGGATCCAGTCCTTGGAAAATGTCTCCTTCCAGCTCCTTCCCAAGCAGTGGGCAAGCCCTGGCACTACCAGGGCTGGTATCTGTCATGCCTTGTAGGGACGAGGTCAGCCAGAGAGACAGCAGCCCCTGCCTGGCTCTGTGAGGACAACGATACTCCTGGGACCTGGGTACCTTCAGCTCCCTGCTCTCCTGCAGGAGACAACGGCTGTTTTGGGACATGTCTAAAAGTGCCTCCCATGCCTAGGCCCTCTCCCTGTAAAACTGTTCCCTATGAGCCTGGAAATCAGCCCAGAGACACTTTTCCTCTTCTGCTCTCTGCTGTGGCTCCTCAATATTCATGGAATCATAGAACCATGGAATGGTTTGGGTTGGAAGGGACCTTAAAGAGCATCCAGTTCCAACCCCCCTGCCATCAGCAGGGACACCTTCCACTAGACCATGTTGCTCAAAGCCTCATCCAGCCTGGCCTTCAACCCAGGGGGGACCAGCCATAGCCTCTCTGGGCAACCTGGGCCAGTGTCTGACCACCCTCACAGGAAAGAATTTCTTCCCTTCAGCGCGTCAACTGCACCACACAGTTTGGTGTTGTTGGAAAACTTGCTGAGGGTGCCCTCAATCCCACTGTCAATGTCTCCAACAAAGATGTTAAACAGTGCCAGTCCCAGTACTGACCCCTGAGGGACTCCACTCATCACTGGTCTCCACTTGGACATTGAGCTGTTGACCGCAACTCTTTGAGTGTGACCATCCAGCCAATTCCTTATCCACCGAGTGTTCCATCCATCTAGTTCATGTCTCTCTAACTTAGAGACAAGGATGTCATGTGGGACAGTGTCGCACAAATCCAGGTAGATGACATCAGTTGCTCTTCCCTTATCCACCAATGCTGGAACTCCATCATAGATGGGCACTGAATTGGTCAGGCAATAGGAACACTAATGACACAGACACATAGAAGGTGCCTTTCCAGCTCCCTTATTGTCCATCTCAGACAAAGGTTTCCATCCAGGCTCTGGCTCTTGCTGTCCTTCTCCTGGCATCCCAAAGGAGCTGCCCTCCCTTGCTGGCTGCAATCTGCAGACAGTGGTGCTCACAACAAGGTTACCCACGTGTGCAGCAGAAGGCACGGCTGCTGCAGAACACTGTGTGGCACAGAGTGGTGGCCCTGAGCTGTGCTGCTCAGCTGGGGCCTCACGCCTGGGGTGCTCAAATGCAGGTCTTGCCCTCGGGACAGAGAGTGGGTGGCCATCCCTCCTCTCCTGCCAGTTCCATGAGATACTGCTGGGTGGTCCAGAATGTTGGGGTAGGTTCCTAAGAGGAATTCTTGTTGGGAGAGAGGGCAAGAAAGAAAGCAATCTAGTGTGGGAAGAGGTCTTGCCATTGGTGCTTCTCTTGCGCCTGCCACAAAGATGGCTTTTCCTCAAAAAAAACACAAACAACTCTTTCACTAAGGCCTTGGACAAGAGAACCAACTGGAGGAGCAATGCCAGGCTCCAGGGAGGGGTCAACGAGTGGTTTAGGAAGAAGAGCACCTAGTGAGCCCGGACAAAGAGGTGCTTGGCGCAGGACAGAGTGAGGAAGAGGTAGAAAGCTCCAGGCTCACTGTACTGGGCTTATGTGACAAGGTTTTGGCAGTGGGGGGGTTGCAAGGATGGATTTTATGAGAAGATGCCAAAAGCTTCCCCCATGTCAGATGGAGACAGTTCCAGGCAGCTCCATGATGGACCCACCGCTGGCCAAAGCTGAGCCCACCAGCAACGGTGGTAGCACCTCTGGGATAACAGATTTAAGAAGGAGGAAAAAAACCTACACAGCAGCAGTTACAGCTGGAGAGAGGAGTGAGAAAATGTGAGAGCAACAACTCTGCAGACACCAAAGTCAGTTAAGAAGGAGGGGGAGGAGGTGCTCCAGGTGCCAGAGCAGAGATTCCCCTGCAGCCTGTGGTGCAGCGCACGGTGATGTCCTTTGATGGGCACCATGAGTGTGGGAGTCACGGCCAGCGAGGAGATGGTGGCTCAAGGGAAGAGTCATCCATAAAGGTCACCTAAACTCTTGAGAGCTTCTGGTAGATCCTGGTGGGACTTGGAGGCTTCTTGATTGTGGAA